CTGGGCTCCGAGGCCGGTCGCCGGGGCGGTCCCGCCCGCCTTCGGGGATCGTGCTCTCTGACCTCCCGGCGGCGCTCGCCGGGGCCGCGGGCCGTGTTTCCGGCTCGCCTGAGCGAGGGAGCGCGCGGCGTCAGGCTGCGAGGCCCGGGCGGTGAGGGGTGCCGAGGAGGGCCGCATGCCCGCTCCTGTACGTGGTCCATTTCTCTTAAGACATCTACGTGCCGCTGAGGGAGGACGAGGAAAAGCAGGAAGCTGAGGATCTAAGGAAACTGTAGCTCGTTTCTGCAAATGTGGTGCTGAGGGCCCCACCTAGGCTCCACACTGAGCTGCCACCTTCACCCCTTCTACTTTCTCACTTCGTGGCAGGGTCTTGCTAAATTGCAGAACCCGGGTGCTGGGATTCCAGGTGTGGCCGGGCCATGGTATCTTAATTTTAAGGCATGATCAAAGTCTCCTAAATTGCCTATATCTTTCCTCTCTAAGCCTATACTTCTTGGGTTGATAGGTTCTCATAACTCCCAAATTCCTCAGAATTTTTTTTTTTTTTTTTTTTTTTTTTTTTTGTAAACAATGTCTGGCTTTGTAGTGCAGGCTGGCTTCAAACTCATGGCCATCCTCCTGCCCCAGCCTCGGGGTGCTGGGATTAGAGGCGGGCACCACTATACCTGGTTCCTCAGAATCTTCAGGATACTATAAATCCATACATTCCAAATACTGGCCCAGTGTAGTGGCCCAGGTTTCTATTCCCTATATCTGGGAGGCTGAAGCAGGAGGATTACAAATTCCAGGCCAGACTGGACTATAAATAGAGATCTGGTTTCAAAAACAAAATTCAAGGGCCGGCGATATAGCTCAGTGGCATAACAGCCTGTCTAGCAATTCCCGTTACCAAAAGAAAAAAACAAAACAAACGAACAGAAATCCCAGTTTCATCGAGACTTCCGTTTCCTAAGGAAACAGTACTCATGCATCCAACCTGTTGCCCATGGGCTCCACACTGCCAGACTGCAAGTGATGGGAACTTCAGGTGTTATGATGTGGCTTTAGCCATGTCTTCATGACCCCCTTGTGCGGTGCTGTGGTCTGGGACTGTAGGTGACATAGGAGGACGAACTGCATGGCACTGGCGTGGGAACTGGGTGTCGGGCTTACGGTGTTTGGGTAAGTTGGCCAGTGATACCCAGCAATCGCCCCAGTATTGTTCAGCTGCCTGCATGGGTGTGCCTGAGAAGACAGGCACTTACTGTCGTTGAGGAAACAGGTAAGTGTTCATTATTAACATGGGTTTTGCTGTTTCATAAAATTATTTAATGAGTTAAAATAGTTTTTTGGCAGCTGTAGCATAAGAAAACCATGCATCAAATCTTTTTTGATATATAAATATATCTTTTATGATATTTGTATAATTGTATATAAATATTGCTAGCAGTAGAAAAATAAAGGACTGCTAATTTGTTCATTTTTATGTTCCACCATGGAAATTTTGTCACTTATATGCATTAACCATTTCGTGTACATATTTTACATGCAGCCCAAGACAATTCCTCTTTACTCAATGTGGCCCAGGCAAGCTGTCTTAGTTACTTTTTTCTTGCTGAGACAAAATACCTGATATAAAGAGGGAAAGGTTTGTTTAGTTCATAGCTTGTAGAGGCTTCAGTCCATAGTTGGCTGACTCCAAGGCAGGGCAGCAGAGGAGCAACAGTTCATTGCAGGCAGAAGGTAGCAAAAGCAAGAGGGAGACCTTAACAACACCTTTCTGCCCTTAGGCAGAGTAGCACTTAGGGCGAGTAGCACTCACCCCCCTTAATCCTAGCACCCTTGAGCCCAGCATTGCACCATGAATCACTTCCAGTGTCACACACTCTGGATCCAGCCACCTCTGAAAAGCTCCACCTCTGACTGCATGAGGTTTTGGGGGGACATCTACACACAAGCCATAACACAAGCCACAAGCTTGGACATCTGTACCCCAAACAAACAGTGGGTTGGTACCATACTGCTGAACTTCAAACCCACATCAGCTGCTTGTATTTAAACCTAGTTGATGAAGTCCTGTAGGGAGCAGCAGAGGCTGGGAACTGGTCACGTGGGGGCAAGGGAAAGCCAGTCTGAGAACGAAAAGCAATCAAGCTGCTTCAGTGCAAACACCTTGCCTACATGGGGAGTCCCTGTCTCAGTGTACCAGTCAACTGAAAAAAGATTCCTAGCTGGACATAGTGGCACACCAGTTATCCCAGCACTGGAGACAGACATTGGTCCATCAAGGGATCTGCAGCGGATTGACAACTGGTGGTCAACTTGTAACCCCCAGCTGAACTGAGTAAGTGTGGTGCTGAGTGTGGGAGGCCCACCTGGGGACTGTTGCCAGCAGCATAGGAGGCTGTCGGAAGCTAAGAGAGGCTGTTGGGAGCTGGTAGAAGCTGTTGATCGTTTTGGAGGAGCTTGTCGTGCTGGCTTTCCTGATGAATGTGGCTGTTTTCATCTCCCAAGGAGATTGGGACCTTGCTGGCACTGAGAATAGCTTCGGTTCACTTTGGGGGAGCTCTGATCCTCACTCTAAGCATTGCTTCCTGGTTCTGAAGGGGAAGAAGGTCATAGCTCCGTCTCCTGAGGAAGCTTGCCGCAGTGGTTTTCCTGATGGGAACTCAGCTGTCTTCACCATTGGAGGAGCTTGGGACATCACTGCTGCTGAGGATGGCTGTGGTACCTTCTGGGGGAGCTCTGGTTCTTACTTTGAGCATTGCTTCCTGGCTCCCTCAGCCTGCTGGCACAGATCCTTCATCCCGCTGGCACAGACTTCCTGGATTCCACCACTGACCTTTGGGCCTTTGCAGCAGATCCGTGAAACAGGCCTGCATGAGATGTTGTTATGGAATGTGGGCGTCCAGTTGGATTCGTGGGAGGCATTGTTATGAGCTCTAGGTCTTCAGCTGGACTCATGCAGGACATTATCGTGGGATCCAGGCCCTCAGCTGGATTCCTTTGGTCTTAGTGCGTGGACAGATTTCTGGCACTTTCTTATATATCATTCTTTGGGTGACTGTTAGAAATAATCTTATAAAATATGTGTCCTGTATTATATTGTTCTCTCTTACAAACTATCCCCCAAACCATGGATCCTGGAGTGGAACAGCTCTGTACCCTCATGGCAGTGTT